AGAGCATTGCAATAGTCCAACCTGGACAGAACAAGAGCCTGAACAAGGAGTTGTGTTGCATGTTCTGAAAGAAAGGACCTAAAAAGCAAATCTGCAGGACCGGGCAGTTTTAGCAATGTGGTCTGAGAAATTCAGCTTATCATCAATCACAACTCCAAGGTTTCGAGCTGTTTTTGAAGGAGTTATGATTGATGAGCCTAACTGGATGGTGAAATTTTGATAAAGTGATGGGTTTGTTGAAACCACAAGCAGTTCTCTCTTAGTCAGGTTGAGTTGAAGGTGATGGTCCGTCATCCAACAAGAAATGTCTATATATATAATATAATAATAATATAAATCTAATATATATTTATATTATCTTAGCGTTCTTAGTGCAGTTTCTGTTTTATCATGTGGGTTTGTGAGTATGCTTATCTAGCAGCCTTTCAGTGTAAGAACATTTTTCATTGTTTAATATTTAATCTGATCACTAAATCTTTTGACTGTTTAACTTAGTATTTGTGCAATTAAATAAACATGAGATTTAAATTGATTCTTTGTTCATCTTTCTACTTTTCTTTCAGTCATCATTTAAGATAACTTCCAATGAGTCAATTATCTCACTGAAGCTTCCCATAAAAAAGTACATTTGCTAAAATATGTTTCAAAATATATTTGTGTAAATATGTTTTCTACCAATATATTTTTGACAATTTTTTATATATTATTGAAAATATATTAAAAAAATTATATTTAAAAAAACAACAACATTTAAATATTTAAAGGGATCATATGATGCTTTTTTGTTAAAGATCATTATTTGGTGTATTTGGTGTAAGAGAATATGTTGACATGCTTTAATGTTCATGCTTTAAATACTGTACATTATTGTAGGTCCTCTATGCCCCGCCTCTCTCAAACGCTTAGTTTTCTACAAAGTCCCTCCTTCCGACAAAGCGCAGTCTGCTCTGATTGGCCAGCTGACCCAGTGCATTGTGATTGGCCGAACACCGCAAGCACTCGTCGGAAATGTAACGCCCCTTACCATAATCGCTTCATCTTTCAAAATAAACGTAAAGACAGAGCCCGAGAGGGGAACAGAGTCGCGTGACAGACACAGTGATGAAGTTGGTCTCTCTCGCTCTCTCTCTCACACACACGCACACACACACACACACACACACACGAAGCGCAAAACTCCGCGAACAGTCAATAGCAAATACTTAAACTAATAACATATATATATATATATATATATTAATATATAAATAACATATTTAAATAAAATAAAACTTTGGATTCTCCATAACAGAACTTAACAATTGTGCTTCTCAGGAGCCTCCAGTCGCATACCTGACTTCTGTCCATCAAAATACAAATTAGCTACTATATACATATGGGCCTAAAAAGAAACGCTAAGCTGGACATTAACTACAGTTAGGTTGGTTATATGAAGCAAAAAAAATAGGCATCCTTGTTTATTATGCAAGAATAATAATGTCCATTATGTTGTGTTTTTTGTAGAGCTGTTTCATCTCAGCACAAATTAATATACTCCTTTTTTTTACAAGGTATTTACAGTTTTTTTTTCAACTGCTTACATTTTCAAAAATGTGCCTCTTTTTTTCAAAACTTTACACACAAATCCAAAAATTGCACACACAAAATGCAAAATGCCTCACATCTCTTGCTAAATGAAGTACTGCATTCAAAATATCACAAACACATCTCAAAAGCAAACATTTGTCTTACGTTACAAACACCTTGCCATAATATATTTTTGGATATATCATATGTGACCCTGGAGCACAAAACCAGTCTTAAGTCGCTGGGGTATATTTGTAGCAATAGCCAAAAATACATTGTATGGGTCAAAATTATTGATTTTTCTTTAATCCTAAAAATCATAAGGATATTAAGAAAAGATCATTTTACATGAAGAAATTTTGTAATTTACTGCTGTGAATATATTAAAACTTAATTTTTGATTAGTAATATGCATTGATAAGAACTTCATTTGGACAACTTTAAAGGCGATTTTCTCAATATTTTGATTTTTTTTTCCAGATTTCAGATTTTCAAATGGTTGTATATCGGCCAAATATTGTCCTATCCTAACAAACCATACATCAATAAAAAGCTTATTTATTCAGCTTTCAGATGATGTATAAATCTCAATTTCGAAAAATTGACCCTTATTGTGGTCCAGGGTCTCATGTACACACAGTTCAAAACCTAAAGCTCTTCTTTCATGAGCTCCTACATTTCTGTTCAAGATTGAAAGTAATTGGCAGAGAGATGTTGAAAAATTCATGGTAAGCACAAAAGCAAGATTGAAAACCAAACTTTTTTTTTTACTGTAAGCACTTGTGGTTGTGAATACACGTGTAGTTGTGTAGATGTGTATTTATAGGCCCATTATAAAGCCATGATTGCTTGGTGTTAAGTAAAGCAATGTGTGTTTGCACAAGTGAAGGAGTTAGTGTGAGGCACTGATGAATTAGTGTGGCATTTTGATTGGTTGTGTTTGAAAAAGGAAAGGTTTTTGTGTGTTATATAGAGAATTATGTGTTGTGTTTTGCAAAAAGTGTTTTATGAAATTGAAAACTCAAAGGCCAAAGGCCGAGAATTAGTGTATGGTTTTTGCAGATTTGGTGTGTGGGTCTGGTGTTTGAGTGTCAGGTTTCAGAAATTGTGTGACAAGTAAAGATTTTGTGTGTAAGCAGTTGAAAAACAAAATGTAATTGAAATCTAGTGTTGTCAGTACCAAATCATTTGTAGTGCTAATGTTCGCCTCTGGATGGGGTATTTTCTCCTTTTTGTGTCCCTTTGTAGGCTATTTTACCCTTGATTTTTGCTGCCTTGTTTGATATTATAAATGGTTGATTTAGTAGATCAGCAACAATATTACAACATATAGGTTACACTACAATAGTCTATAATATATAACATATAATAGTGTGTATTGTTACATTTGGAAAAAAAAAACATGCAAAACATTTCATAACATTTTCACACAGGTAATGAAAATATTTATCAGGTTTTGAAAATATTTAGGTCTGATGATTTGTCTGGCCAGGGGAGATGTTGAAGTTCATCTTGGTGCTCCAACTGTCCAGGTTTTATAATTATAATACCATCTTTGCTGTATTTTGGCACTGGCGTCTGTGAGTACACAATCCTTAGTAGTGTTTAAGGGGCCCTTTCATTCACTTTAGGTTGTCGCCCACTGTTCTTCTTCACTGATGAAATTTTGCCATGCTTTGACTACACAGTCATAATCATAAACGCTATTACTCTGAAAGGGATAGTTCACCCAAAAATTTTAATTACCCTCTGATTTACTCACCCTCAAGCCATCCTAGATGTATATGACTTTCTTCTTTCAGATGAATACAATCTGAGTTACATTAAAAAATGTCCTGGCTCTTCCAAGAATTAGTGAATGGTGGTCAAGATTTTGAAGCAAAATAAAGTGCACCCATCTATCATAAATAGTACTCCACATGGCTCCGGGGGTTAATAAAGACCTTCTGAAGTGAATCGATGCGTTTATGTAAGAAAAACATCCACATTTAAAATGTTATAAACCATAATCTCTAGCTTCCCCTAACTGTCATACTGGCGTTCACGAGAGATGACGTAGGAGGTAGGCGTAGCGTAAACTCCGGTGAGAAGTGACAAACCCGGAAACACCGATCACGAATTAGAAGTACAAAACGAGGATTTGTAAAGAAAAATGTCGGACGGTTTCGATATAAGCCAAGAGGAGACTGGTTTTCCTTTGCTGTAAACAAAACTTGGTTCTCGCGAGACTAGTATATTCTCACTGGAGCTTATGCTACACCTAGGCTATTTCCTACATCATCCGCTGGAACACCACTCTCTCGTGAACAAGCGTTTTAAATATGGATATGTTCCTTTCACAAACGCATCGCATCACTTCAGAAGGCCTTCATTAACCCCCGGAGCTGTGTGGAGTACTTTTTATGATGGATGGATGCACTTTATATTGCTTCAAAATCTCAACCACAATTCACCGCCATTATAAAGCTTGGGAGAGCCAGGACATTTTAAAATGTAAGTCTGACTGTATTTGTCTGAAAAAAGAAAGTCATAAACACCTGGCTTGACGGTGAGTAGCCTAAATAATTTTTCTTTTTTTGGGCGAACTATCCCTTTAAGAGCAACAGTTTTTATGATTATGACTGTGTAGTGTAGACAAAGCATGGCAGAGGGCGAGAAACAAAAGTGAATAATAGGGACCCTCGAACACTAATTTTGCCCTTTTCGGAAGTCTAACAATAAACCCATTTCACCAAGCACTTCACTGCTGAACACAACTTATAGCCTACTACACTGACACAAGCTAGAGAGTAGAGACAACGTAGGCGAAATATAAAAATAAGGTAATCACAATGTTTTTCCCCCCACTGTAGCCTAGAAATGATATTAACTCCTATAATAACGAGTGTTATAGTCCAACCCCTGCAAGGGACCCTCGAACACTAATTTTGCCCTTTTCGGAAGTCTAACAATAAACCCATTTCACCAAGCACTACACTGCTGAACACAACTTATAGCCTACTACACTGACACAAGCTAGAGAGTAGAGACAACGTAGGCGAAATATAAAAATAAGGTAATCACAATGTTTTTTCCCCCACTGTAGCCTAGAAATGATATTAACTCCTATAATAACGAGTGTTATAGTCCAACCCCTGCACTAGGCTATAGATATCACTTTACACTCACGCCAAAACAAACGTATTTACATACGTATATTGCTTTAAAGGACATTAACCGCAGCAGCGTTTAAGAGTATTATTGTCCTATATTGTGCAGACACCCCAACCAACATTGTCGCATAGGATACTATTGGCTGTTGCAAAGCATTTTACATCCACTCTAATTTTAGTTCTGCTTATAATGTTCTGACCTGGCGTGCTCGATTTGTACTGGACAGTGGAGCAGTGACTGTTGATTGGTGTTCTGCAATCTGCTCTCTCTCATACCTCGCACTGTGTGTGAGTGTAATTAGCCATCAAAAGCAGTGGAGTGGAGGGAACGAGTGCATGTCTGAGTGCGAGAATCAGGGAGACAGTATTTTAATGACATAGCACAAGGAAGAGCATTAGGGATTTTCATATCAAACGCACACACGTTATTAGCCTACATCAGCGTGCTGCTCTCTGTGGAAAAATCTCACAGAGAATTGAAGTCGTAGCTCAATGAACAAACTAGACACCTGAACTGTATTTCTCAACTCGGAAACAGACGGAATGCAGGCAATTCTGTTTGCAGCAGCAGTGCTCTTTGCGCACGACCTCGCCGTGGCCGAGCCGAAGACGAAATGTCCATCCAAGTGTGATGTGAGTAAATGTCCGAGTCCGAGCTGCCCGAGCGGGTATGTGCCCGACCACTGCAACTGCTGTCTTGTGTGCAGCCTGGGCGAGGGCGCGTCGTGCGGTCGGAAGGATGATGCTCCGTGTGGCGACGGACTAGAATGTAAATTTCCAGCCGGTAAGCGACTTTCCAAAGGTGTTTGCCAGTGTAAGACAACTCACAGAGTGTGTGGCAGCGACGGAAAGACCTACGGGAATGTGTGCAAGATGAAGGCTGCCGCGCGTAAAGCGCAACAGCGAGGGCTCCCCGTAATAACCCAAACGCAGAAGGGTCCATGTGCACCATCAAGCTCAGGTCAGTCACTGATCACTTCAACTACTTATTTTATGTGTGTAATACTTTTTTAGACATGTATGTCGTGTGTATATCTATCCTAAAACTCGTTAATACGAGTAGATATTATAAAAATAAATATAAAAGTTAGACATGTATTTAAAACATTGATTATAAAAACATATAAACATACATATTTTTTTGTATGTGTGTTATTTTAATAAGGTTGTATATATAAACAAAATATTTGTTGTTGACATCTATGGTTGCTAATCAAATCATGATGTATAGGCTACACACACATTTTACTATGGGGATTTTATATTTGTTATAAACGTATGTCTTCATCTGCCCAGAGAATGTATGTATGTGAAAATTATATATCACCTTATAGGTAACATAAATGGAATAAATATGCTGTATATTACATTTAATTATAGGTGCTATCAGAGTTTACTGCAAGGTGGATCTGGACTAATAATTAAAAGTAGTAGCCAATCCGAATGAAGCATGCAGTCACAATAGTTCTGAGGCAGTCAGCTGTAGGACAGTTGTTATATATCCACTATAGTTTTGACTTCCTGTGTGATGTCTGATTTTGTCTGATTGAGACTTCATGGAATTTCACACTGTCTCCAATTGCTTTTTATCATTCTATATTGAACTTTCTATACACAATAACAACCTTGTTTTTTCAGCAGGAGACAATTACTTTAACCCTGCTTAAAGTGCTAAGATTTGCACAAGGCAGAAACATCAGTGTGACCTTGGATGTTTAGTGAGATGTGGACTCTTAGTTCCTCTTACTATTCCCGTGCCAACTGTGGTTTCACTCAGAGTCAGAGAATACAGACACCATCTAAATGCAGCTTTTAGTCCTTTTGTACTGAAGTGCAAAACAAAATATGCAACACTGTTTATATATTCTACCCAAAGCTTTGGGAAAGAGGAAACAATCTAGGCAGAATGCCATCTGCATCCAGCCCACAGAATGTGAGGGAAGTAATAAATGTGACACACCTAGCCACAGATGAGCAGAGATCAAAATTATTACAATGGATGATCTGTTCTTTGTTATATGCTCTATGGGAGTAACACGAACCTAATAGAACAATTATTTCTGAGCAGTACTGTGGAGGCCTCTGATAGTTACACTACTGGTCAAACGTTTGGAATAATTAAATTAAGATTGCATTTATTTGACCATAAATACAGTAAAAAGTGATATTGTGAATACAGTAATATTGTGAAATATAACTTATTATAACTTTATAAGAATTGTTTTCAATTTGAAAATATTTTAAAATGTAATTAATTCCTGTGATGGCAAAACTGAATTTTCAGCATCCTTACACCTGTCTTCAGGTGTTCAGGGGGCCCAGAAACCATAGCGGCGCCCATGCCAGTCATCAGTGTCACATGATCCTTCAAAAAATCATTCTAATACGCTAATTTGCTGCTTACTAATTACTAATAATGGTTCTTATTATCAATGTTGAAACCTTAATACATCTTTAGTCACATTTTAATTGAATGCACCATTGCTGAATAAAATTATTTCTTTCTTTCTTTCTTTCTTTCTTTTAACCTAAATTGTCTACTGTATCAACAGTTGTTTTCAAAATAATAATATTGAGCAGCAACTCAGCATATTAGAATGATTTCTTTCTAAAAGATTAAAAACAATTTAGACAGATTTGCTGAAATATGAATTTAGTGCACATTTACACATGTATAGGCTTTTTTACCAAAAACAGTAAAGTATTGCCAATACATCCCAGTATAGTCTTCATATCTGGCATATCATGTAATGTCATTGACGTGAATGGTTCTTCCTGCTAGTATAGGTCCTGCACATCTGAACAGCCCAAGATACAAGTTTAACTTTATCGCTGATGTGGTGGAGAAGATTGCCCCGGCTGTGGTACATGTCGAGCTCTTCCTCAAGTAAATACAATTCTGGTCTTCATGATATTGATTTGGCAATGTTTATATTGGCGATAACTATTTTTAGAGACAAATATATATGTCATTTTGGCACCTGATTGAAGACTCACAAGAAAAGGTGTTTTTAAATAATCTAATAATGAGGCAATCTACTCATTTCACCTCACTGATGGCCAACAGTTGCTTTGGCATAATTTTTTATTTTCAAGTACTACTAGAAAATAAATGTTCACCTAGTCATGTAAAAACCACTGTTTTCAATGTTTGTGTCCAGCCATCCACTGTTTGGCCGTCATGTACCTTTGTCAAGCGGTTCTGGATTCATAATGACACAGTCCGGTCTGATCGTGACCAATGCTCATGTGGTTGCTAGCAGTGCACCAGTAACGGGCCGTCAAAATCTACGAGTGCAGCTACACGATGGCCAGACATACGAGGCCTCCATCAGAGACATAGACAAGAAATCTGACATTGCAACTATCAAAATTAACCCAAAGGTGAGAATCATTTCACAAGCATTAATGACTTTATCTGTTTAAGACTGTTAAAAATAACAGGACAATTTAAACAAGTAGACAAGTTTCCCAGGTCTCTTTTTTTATTTTTATTGTACTGTAAATGTGGAACAAGGCCTTGAGGCTGAAAAATTTTAATTTTCAACCTTTCTTGCTGTCACCATATTTTTCTTTACAGTGTTTTCTGACACAAAGCCTATTAGTCAATAGTCCAGAGTTTATCTTTCAAAAACTTCCAGAGTATAAAACCTCAGCATACATCATCCAAAACTGGCTACACCTTTGACTCTTAACACCCATGTTTATGAGTCCAGAGGCAGATGGTTTATATCACACAATCCGCCTCGTCTAGACACACTTGGACTTGTTAATGGTAGCCTGCTGCACATGTTGACCTACATTTGTGTGTGGGAATTCAAGAGGTGTTGTGTTGTAAGAGCTATTTTGTTTCCTGATTCATATGGATCTGATTATGGAGATGCACATTTGGTCTAGTGCAATATTTCCATAGCCCATTTTTGATTTAGGGTATCAAAGAAAAAAATATTCAGAGTAGGGACTGCTTTCGAAACAAAAGTTGAGGAATGTTCCCACGTCAGAGAGTCTGGATTGCTTGCAAATATTTTGTTTCTGTTTATAGCAGCTCATGTAATTTCCCCATCTTTTGCTCTGCAGCCTTAGACTTTTTCCACACTGCACCCAATTCTGATCTTCTGGACAGACTGCCCATGTGTTTTTGCAAATAATGAAATCAGTCCAGTTTGTTCAGGTAGTGCTTGTCACATTGGTGGTTCACCAATGTGACAAGCACTACCTGAACAAACTGGACTGATTTCATTATTTGACTTTGAGTGGCATTGAGGTGTAGGATCCAATGCAAGCAGTTTATTAGAATGAAACAAAAACACAAGAAAACCAGGAATCTAAAAAACAAGGGCTGCATTCAAAATTGCACACTTCCATACTATATAGCAGGCGAAAAACAGTATGTGTCAAAGGAAGTGTGTCCGATTTCACAGTACTCATAAAAGAGTATGCAAAAAGTACCCGGATGACCTACTATTTCCGGTGTGATTCTAAAATGTGCATATGATGGACACAGGAGAGAATTTGTGAATGGCAGTGAAGCTACACAACTGATGCTGGTAGGTCATGTAACAATGACAACATGGCGAATGTAGTACATCCAGATTACATTCGTATTACACACATTCATACTATATAGAGCAGAGGTCCCCAGGCAGTAATCAGGTCTGGGTGTGGCTAGTGAAATTTAACTCAGCTTTCTAAAATAATGTGGTTAATCACAGTTCTTTCATTATTTAAGAGGAGGGGCAAATAATTTTTCACGTAGGGCCAGGTAGGTTTGGACAGCTTTTTTCCCTTAATAAATGAAATTATCATTTAAAAACTGCATTTTGTATTTACTTGCATTATCTTTGCGTAATATTAAAATTGGTTTGATGATCTGAATCTTTTAAGTGAGACAAATATGCAAAAAATAAAAAAAACAGGAAGGGGGCAAAAACCTTTTCACGGCACTGTATTAGGAGTTAAACGGATCGCAGTTGATCCGTAATACGTACGGGTGAGACCCTACCGTTCGGCACGCACGTGATTCACAGATTAATTTGCCAATTTACACGTACAAGCAATTTTAAACCACAAGAAGAAGAAACGAAAGAGAGCTCAATTCGTTACTCACGCGCTGTTCTCACAGACAATCAAACTGCGCAAAAGCATAGAGACGTGTTTCAGACAGCACGGAAATACCGAGTTGCCTATACATACACATAAAATTAGCCTAGCCTATATCTAAAACCCTTCACGGCATTGTCATTCTCTGTGCTATAAATATTTTTTTTCTTGCTTATCCGAAAAAACCCCCCAATATAATGCGTTGAACCACTATATAATGCTATTATAATAGCCTACTAGGCTATATCCTAATATATATATAATTTAATAATAATAATAATTTATGCATTTAGCAGACGCTTTTATTATTAAAAAATATTTTTTATAAAATTGTATTATTCATTTAACCGGTAGAGCTGCTAACGCTGCCACAGGAACATTAATATTATAATATAATAATAAAGAAATAAATGTACGGAAGTTCTAAGCGGCCATGCATAATTTTTTTTTTTCCTTCTTGTTTTCTCGTTATAACGACTTATTTTCTCGTTAATACCCTGAACATGTTTCTTTAATAATTATTCTCTATTTATGGATTAAAACATGCTCTTCTTCACAAATACATGCTTTAATAACAGCGAAAATTAATTTAATGTAATCTTAATGTTGTGTGTCAAGTTTATCAAAAAACTTCCGAACTTCCGTATAAATGTAATATATATATATATATATATATATATATATATATATATATATATATATATATTAGGCTATATATAACCTCAAAACAAAAAATTGTTAAAAACATTGAGTATTGTACTATTTATGGAATAATTCAATTTATTCAATGACTCACTCATAAAAACAGTGGCTTAATTGGGAAAAGCACACTACCATACTACTCTACTATTTATGCCATATAAAAATCTACAGATAAGCCATAAATATATAAACGTTATTCCAAATATAGCCAGTTACTTGTTTTGTTGAGTGTTTTTTAATGATTCTTTTGAACAAATGGTTTCAAGACTCACAAAGACTTGTTGCCACCTATTAGCGTAAACTACAACCTGTAGGAAGTGTTAATGAAGAAAAAAAATCAATCAGTGGTGCACAGATTGACTGAGTCATATTTCAGTTGATTTTATTTGCATGAATTGTTTGTGTTATTTCACCTGCAGAAAAAGTTACCAGTGTTATCACTGGGTCAGTCTGCTGACCTGAGGCCTGGTGAGTTTGTGGTTGCCATTGGCAGTCCATTTGCGCTTCAGAACACAGTCACAACAGGTATCGTCAGCACAACACAGAGAGATGGAAAAGAGCTCGGCATCCATGACTCTGACATGGATTACATCCAGACTGATGCTACCATCAATGTAAGACAAAAGAGAATGCTGTTTGCAGGCTACACTGATTGTTTAAAAAAAAAACGTTTTGGCTGAATTTGATTCTGTCTTTCCCTTTTTATTCATCAACAATGGGAAGTATGGAAACTCAGGAGGTCCACTTGTTAATCTGGTGAGTAATAATGCAAATGTACATCTAGTTAGACACTGGTTATATACATTTAATAGTACTAGCTTTTTCATAATATTCTGTCATGTTAGGATGGTGAGGTGATCGGAATAAACACACTAAAAGTCACTGCAGGGATCTCTTTTGCAATTCCGTCAGACCGAATCAGTAAATTCCTTGATGAATTTAATGATAAAGAGCAGAAAGGTAAGCATCAAGCACAGAAGTAATGCACTAATCGCAAAAGTTTCATTTTTTGTTAGTATTTCCAAAATTAATGCATCAACACAAATGTTAGCATGCAGAAATCTGAACTGTCAATGGATGTTCATTTTCATTCAATCATATTGACCTGAGATTACATTTTTGTGAGTGCCACCTCTTAAATGATGGTCTGCCAGTTGAAACAAAATGGCTGCAAAACACAAATGTGTGAAACAGCCCCATCTATTACATCCTTAGTGTCCTTTACTTTGATTTCAGTCAAACAAAGGGTAGTCAGGACAAACTTCACACAGTCTCAAGCTATGAAGACTGCCTCAGGTGAGGTGATTGCTAGCAAATTTCACTTTGCTAGCTAGCGGCTAGTCATCTTGCCAGCCTGATGACATCAAAAATGCAAGCTACAACAGAATCAACATTTAACTGCTCTGTCATGGCATTAAATTACCATAAGAGGAACTAAAGAGGATACATTCTGAATGTTTTGGCCAGAAGGCTGAATTCGTTGGTTAAATGTTTATTGAACATAATGTGAAACTGCTTTGCATGAATATGTCCCAGTAACCTGCTGTTAGCTAACTGCAAGTCAATATAACTCTTTGCTTCAGTGTTTAACGAATAAAAAAGGTATTTGGTCAATGCAAGTGTTCATGCTAAGCTACTGTTTGTGAATAACACTCAGTCCAGGGTACTACAGTTATCTAATGGTGTGTTCAAGTCCTCCTGGGAAGTTTGTATTTATGAGTTGGGAAGAAATCAGGTGGATTAAAATCACTTTGGTTGGAGCAAGAAACAGAAACTACAGAAAATAGAGCAAGATGTTTTAACTGTAAGGTTCTGTAAACTGAACCGTTATTTATTTATTTTATTGTAATTGTACCGTAATATCATATTTTATCATATCATATACTTTAAAGTGATCATTTAATTAATTTCAACAAATTTAAAGGGGTCATATAAAAAAAGTAACTTGCGTTACTTATTTGAAAAAGTAACTCAGATATTCTCTTGTAAATTAAAAAGTAATGCGTTACTTTACTAGTTACTTGAAAAAAGTAATCTGATTACGTAACTCGCGTTACCCCCAACACTGTTCGTACGTCGCTTATTACTACATCCGAGATGAAAGTCACATCCAAGACGATATCATCGCGCTAATCGGGATCTGGCTAATTCGGTTCTTCCAACGCACCTGTTGTTGTTGATTAGTATGGCTGGATTGAGTTCATGGGTTGGTTTAAAAGGGGCTATGTATCGATACTCGAAACCACGATCAGCAGTGCAGCGATTGGCTGCGGCAAGACAGCAACGTAATGACATCATATAATTAAAACAGACACCTGACGAAAAACGTGACAAATTTCTGGACTTTTATAAAGAAACAGCCAAGCGAACAAAACTGCATAAATGTTATAATAGATAAATGAAATGTGTTTTCATTTTATTTTCTTTCTTTTTTTTTTTAGATTTGTCACGTGACAGCATTATTTAAAGTTTCTTAAGGGTCAGGATCATGTTATCTGCATCTCCTGCAGCTCCATCAAGCCTCTCCCATAATATCTGTCAGCACTCAAATTCACGCACGACTCTACATTATCTGTACAGCATGTGTAAGACTCGAATACAATTATTCTATAATAATAAGTAATACTTTTATGACGAATACATCTTTCAGTGAGTAAAACTGGCTGTGCCTCTAGTATTAAAGACTACACAACATTATTATATTATCTTTAAATTAATTTTTAAATGATTATTATTTTAAATGATTGTCTCTGGATTAGTAGGATACTCTTGTAATAAAGTAGCGGTGGTAGCGGACAGATTTTAAGTATCCGTTCTGCTTAAAAAGATGCAATCTAATCCTGTTTACATGAAATAAGCTTATGAACCTGTTGCTATGACAGCAACTCCGGGATGAGCTTCGAAGAACCAAACAATCCAAGATCACGCCCAATCATCACCAGTCAAATCCAGCTAACTGAGTTAGCAGCGTACGAAGAACGGGCCCCAGCTCGCTGTATCTACTTTCTTTTGTTTATTCTAGTCTTTTTCACGTTGGTTGTGAGAGCCAGAGTTGTTTTTCCACCAGAGGTTTGCAAACAAAAGGACAAAAATGTCCTCGATCAATATTTTTCGTCTTGTTTACAGCTGAAACATCTCATGAAGAAATAACAGTCCATTTTCCCAGTGTTGCAAATATTTATCCACCCGTTGATTTAACGCAAAGTCATTCTCTCTGTGTATAGTTTTATTTGTTTAACCATCGCCTACATTTTTAGCTATTAATTAAATTGAATTGGAATTTATGCTCTGCTGAACTTTAGCTAAACATGGTTGTAATAACTTCACTTTTACCGGAATATTGAGGCGCCAAGATCTAAAGTCATTAACTGTCTCGGGTGTAAAAATTATGCATCCGAAATCTCTTGATATTGATTCCGTAACTGCGTCTAAGAAACTTTTCCGCAGGTATACCACTTATAGCAGATGCCCTTTTTAAACTAATAGTTTTCTGCCTGAATATTAGATTTGTGGACTCGGGCGTCTCAGCGACGGTAACAACACACATTCATGAGCTCTGACAAACAGCGATCAGATTCAGTGTGCTACACAATCCCTCGAGTCACGTAATACTGTATGATCATTTGGACACGATTATACATGTATTTTCTGTTTAACACGCTAAATTATCTTAGAACAGCTGTGTATGAAGATATTCTTCAGTGAAGCATCATGGGATAGGGGCGGTAACGGCGATGATTGACAAGCGCTTCGGCCAATCATATCGCTCTGATGCTGTGCCGGTCGCGTCTGAATGGCTAGTGACTAGAAACTGTGTTTGAGCGAGAAAATAATAAAATGACATAAGATAAACATCTAACTTGCTAGAATATCTTAGAGGGACAATATTTTTATTAATAATAATTAATTCTACTGTAAGTGTCTTTCATATTGCTTTTGTGCGTGAGAGAATGCATATACTTATAGAGCAGACATGACATCTATTCCAGACAGAAAAATCATAAAAAAATGTGCCAAAGCAATTATTTTCTAAAATGAGTGTTGTAGTATAACCAGCAGGAGAGCAGTGATGTGTGAACTGAATCTGGTGACACTACAGCGTGTTACTGTGAAGTTATTGAGTATTTTATTAGTAACATTGTTCGCGTTTTGCACTTTGCAGACGGTCCCTTCGGACGTGTTTTGTACAGAGCGGGGGAAAGGTTGTTTTGAGGGAAAAGTCGCTTGTAGCTCGTTTTCACTGCGAAAGAAAAGAGGTGTAATTTGTGTAGTAGAGACGTTTTGCTCGCGAGTTATTAATCCGGAAAAGTCGAATCTGTGAATATCTTGCCAACTTTACCGAACTTGTGGAAATCGTGGGAAAATGCCCGAAATCATTCACGTGAGTAACAATGGCGTACTAATGTGTGTTATCAAAGACGGGATCTGAGAGAAGCGCAGATGCCCCTCATATATTTGGCATTACAGCTTACACTTCAAAAGGCTATGGTTTCATTGATTAAATATGAGCGCTGCGAGTTTCAAAGTCAGGCGCTGCATTGCTTTGTTTACTGCGGTTACCGGGGAAACGGCTATACTCCTGTCGAAAAGCGCCACCTGCTGGCAGAGAATGAATGTGCATTTTTCAATAAGCCCGATATATCCAGCTGCAGCCCGGCAGCCCCACACGTTTCAGGACACACAATCCAGACCACACGATCCAGGCCGGAAGTGAGGGGCGGAGTTAGTAAACCGTAACAACATGGCGGATTCATTTTGTGATGAAAAATTCGTTTAAAAGTTCAATGTTTATGTTATAAATACTGTTTATGTGCATGCCTTTCACGTTTTATTTCTGAGGCTTTGAATTGTTGTCATCCTTTACCATTTTCGGGACTTTTCTGCGGACAGTTTGATTACGTTTTAGGTTGTTTGTTGTAAATGGGCTTTGCGATAAAGAATTGAATTTATTACTTTTTGATATATTGAATGCTTTCTTATAATTCTATTAGTTTCATTGTTTGTTGGTTTATTTTATGCTATTCTAGAGCATTGTAAGTTTGTTATTGACTTTTTCAAATAACAGAGAACGTGTGTTATGCAATTTTTCATTTGATCTCCTGTAGAGACATACTACAATTCAGAGAGGTAAAGAATTACCTCAGCCCCAACAGTGCCAAAACTGTTGCAGCCTTTATCATTGCCCTTTCTGCCGGACATTTAAGCCAACCAGACTGGACAAATTAAAATTGCATCTGCAGAGCCATTCCAGCAAGGCAGTTGTCTATGATAGTATGGGTATCTTGAGTTGTTTTATTAATGTGTTGTAGTATAGTTAAGTACTTTACTAATGTAATGATTTATTTGTTGATGGTAAGGCAAATCATGTTTTGCTATAAATAAACTAATGTTTGCCTTCCAATTTAATGGATTGACAGTATCAGTTTGTTTCTTCTGGGATCCCTAAACAATGGCATTGCTATCTTTCATCTTTCAAACTCATTTTGCCACATTTTAATTATGATTTGACTTTTTCTTAAATTTTGCTGTTTTTTTTTAGTATGCTCTACACGTTGTGTTGGGAGCCCCCTTTGACTTTACATCTGTAAGTAATTAGGAGCACAAGCAATTGGATTTCATGCTGTTTTGATATTTATAAGATTTCTCTGTATTTCTGTCTTAAAGCATGACTTTCCAAAAATCAGGAGATGGTGGGCACTAATTCTTTTGGAGAACTTTGGAGTTGTCCCAGAAAGGTATTTCCTTATTTCCCTACAGTTCACACTACCTTGCACCCTATCCCAGACTAATAGAAAAAATCAACCAAAAAATGTTACAGGACAGAAAACCTCTAGAAGACACTAGAGCTACATGAAGAACAAGCTACACCCAGCAGCAGTGAGGTATTTGTCAGTAAATGTGTGTTGTTGCAAATGTGTAATTTATATGAAATAGTAACATTTTATTATTCTTTACCATTTTGTAATAAAGGAGCTCACAATAATCAAACACATGAAACTGGCTGTAAAATGGATACATGCCAATAGACATGTGTTCAGGGGCCCTGTGGAAGAGCCTCTTTTCCTCAGAATGGAAGAGGATGACAAGGAAAAGGCCCTCCAAAATCTCATCAAAGATGTGGAAGATTGCAGAGACCCATTCACATTGAATTTTTCATTCAGGGAAGACATGGAGATTTTTTTTAGTTGAATGGCATGAAAAAATGGGATTAAAATTGATCAAACATGACCTAAATATCTCATCATAACCTACAGTCAAAATTTTGTTACAGTTTACTAGATTGATCAAAATGAATATCAATTTAAAAAATAAAATTGTTTTTTAATATATTTTTTTAGTATTTTTTGTATTATTAAATATTGTAAATCCTAACAAAATTCTTGGGATAGCTCATATTACATCTAACAAAAGAAAATTGCACTACAAAACTGCGACAGATCCACCGTTAACCATATATGGTTCGCCTTACTTCCGGCCTGGATCGTGTGTCCTGAAACGTGTGAGGCTGCGGGTC